TTAATCAGTTGCCCTTTTTTCCCAAACACAGGGGTGACTGTGGCATCGGATGTAGGAGTTTGCCCTACCATGATGGCTCAAGCTCCGGCTCCGACTTTCAGTGTCGTTGTGTCCTTGAGCAAGATACTTCACCTGCATTGTCTGCTGATGGTGGTCAGAGGGCCCGGTGGCGCCAATGTATGGCAGACCCGCTTCTGTCAGTGAGTTCCAGGGCAGCTGTGGCTACAATGTAGCTTGCCACCATCAGTGTGTGAGTGTGTGCATGAATGGGTGAATGAATGTAGTGTAAAGCGCCTTGGTCAAGTCTCCTGACTTGAAAAAAAGGCGCTATATAAGTACAGGCCATTTACCATTTTACCATAATTAGTTTTCATATATTTTTCTAAAAAGATTTCATTAAACTCAAATTGTCTTTTTTCTGAAATTTTCCAGATTTAAACAGGACACATGGTGAAGCAAGTATTGAAGTTTGTAATGCTAATGTCAGCGTCCACAGTTGAAATCAGCCCACATGAAACAGGATGACCATAGAAGCCAAAATAGCAAGCGTGAAAAAGTAAACAACCTTAAAAAATTATTTAGTTAGTATCTTGTTTAACCCTTTATAGGGCGCTCAGCGAAATACCTTAAAAATCAAAATTTCAAGCCAATAGTTTTATTGGAATCAGGACAAGAACTTATCACCTTTGTAACATTAAAAAATATTAATATTTTGGATGACAAAAATTAATGTCAATGTACAGTAACAACAAGAAACACCAAGTTGCCCGAATATATTAAGAAAAATAACAAAAGTGCTTCTATAAAAAAATAATGAAAAACATTCTGAGAGTGAAAGAAACACATTTTATTTGCTACAACATAACCTTAAAGGCATTAATGCTGATACTGGCACTTACATTTTTTAGTTGAACCTAAATATAATTGTTAACTTTTCAATGAGCTTTTTACCTTTTTTCTTGACTTGTTAACTTTTTTTTTTTTCAATTTAATTGACAGTAGGTAATATATCATTCAAGGGCTCATCTAATTGGTCAAATCCTAAAATAAGATGTAAAGCCATGTAGCAGTATCTTTGCTGAACGGCTGGATATAGAGCTTATGTTCAAACTTCCCCCTCCTATACACCCTTTCCAGCTCCTTTAAGAGAAGCGCAAAAAGTTGGGCTGTCCCTGGGCCTCCTCCTGGTGGGAAGTTCTCGGAGCACCTCCTGAAGGAGGCTCCCAATGAGTATTGAAAGCAGATGTCCAAGACGCATCAGTGGGCTCTTCTCTATTGGGAGGAAAGTGGCTCTGCTCTGGGTCCCTTCTTGGTGGTGGAGCTCCTCAGCCTGTCTCTAAGGGAATGCCTGACCACCCTGTGAAGGAAGCTCATTGCAGTCACTTATATTATAGATATTTATCTTTCAGTGCAAACCTAAATTATATGAACATTGGTGAGGGTAAGAATCAAGAGCTTTGCCTTTTTGCTCAGCTCTATCTTCAAAATAGACTACTATAATAGACTCATGATGGAAGCTTTCAGTCTCCTGCTCCATTCGCCCCTCACTCATGAACAGGACCCCAAGATGCTTGAACTTCTCACTTTGAGGCAGGGACTCTCCTCTAACCTGAAGGGGACACACCACCTTATTTCCTGTCCAGAACCAGGGCCTCGGACTTGCAGGAGCTCATTTTCATCCTGGCTGCTACGCACTTGGCTTTGAACACAACGAACCATGTCATCTTCAAAAAGCAGAGACTGTCAGGTTTCTGTTATGTTTTTTTCTTTTGAGTATCCAGTTTTATCTTTGCTCCTTGTTTTCTAGTTTTAGTGGGTTAATTCCTAGTTTACTGAGTTCTTTGATTTTTGCCCAGTTACAGTCCTAGTCTTGGTTCTGTTATGTTTTCTTTTGAGCGTTTAGTATTCTTTTCTCCATGTTTTATAGTCCTAGTGGTTTAATTATTATTTTTATTGTTATTTCCAGTCTTCCAGGTACACATTTGAGCTTTGTGTGATACTCATCAGTAAATTGAGATACACAATTACATATCTTACATATCAGATCTTTTTGAGACTGATTTGGCTCCATACCTTATCTTTTCTAAAACCAGTTTTAATGTGAGTGTAGGATCATCAATCCATTTAAATCCTTTACCCCCTTTTCCTCTGATAGAATATAGAGTCTGAAACATTAACTAGATGGTGTCTGTTAAAAGGAGTGAGCTATGCAACCCTGAGGGACCAAGTATGTATAGTTTAAAGAGGGAAAAATCCCCTTTGGACAAAGTTTTGTTTGAATTAAGCAAAGCTGTTTGCCTTTGGGTTCATTAAACATTTAGTTCCTACTATCTTCCTTTAGTTTTATTTTAACATTCATCTTTAATTATCCTCCCATTTCTGTTTGTTGTTCTTTGTAAGGCTTAGTGTTGATGTGTCCTGTCTGCTTTGCTGCTTAACTCCCAGATTGTCTATAAGGTCATTAAAATCAGAAGAACTGCAGGAGGAACGTCTCACTGTCCTTTTGTAGAGCTAATTAGTTCCGACCCTGCAAGGTGACAAGAACAATTGTTCTATTAACATGTTGTCAGGTCAGACCCCCCAACAGAGAAACAATAATAACCACCTATCTGCCAAAGCGCTGTACTATAGTAATATTAAACTCTTGCTCCAGTTGACTTCACTTTTGTTTATTTATAAAGAACCAATTTACAACCACTTATTTCAAGAAACTTTACAAATAAAGACAAAAAGATCCTGTTCACATGACTTCAACCAAACCTTTATTATAGTGAGAAATAACACGTGAAGATAGAACGACAATTCAATTTCAATTCAATTTTCAATTCAGTTTATTTATACAGGTGCTGGTCATAAAATTAGAATATCATGAAAAAGTAGATTGATTTCAGTAATTCCATTTAAAAAGTGAAACTTGTATATTATATTCATACATTACATACAAACTCATATATTTCAGATGTTTATTTTGTTTAATTTTGATGATTACAAATGACAACAAATGAAAATCTCAAATTCATCATATCAGAAAATTAGAATATTGTGAAAAGGTTCAAAATTGATGGCCCCTGGTGCCACACTCTAATCAGCTAATTAACTCAAACCACCTGCAAAAGCCTTTAAATGATCTTTCAGTCTAGTTCTATAGGCTACACAATCATGGGGAAGACTGCTGACTTGACAGTTGTCCAAAAGACGACCATCGACACCTTGCACAAGGAGGGCAAGACACAAAAGGTCATCGCTAAAGAGGCTGGCTGTTCACAGAGCTCAGTGTCCAAGCACATTAATAGAGAGGCGAAGGGAAGGAAAAGATGTGGTCGAAAAAAGTGTACAAGCAAGAGAGATAACCGCACCCTGGAGAGGATTGTGAAACAAAACCCATTCAAAAATGTGGGGGAGATTCACAAAGAGTGGACTGCAGCTGGAGTGAGTGCTTCAAGAACCACCACACACAGACGTATGAAAGACATGGGTTTCTGCTGTCGCATTCCTTGTGTCAAGCCACTCTTGAACCACAGACAGCGTCAGAAGCGTCTTGCCTGGGCTAAAGAGAAACAGGACTGGACTGCTGGTGAGTGGTCCAAAGTCATGTTCTCTGATGAAAGTAAATTTTGCATTTCCTTTGGAAATCAAGGTCCCAGAGTCTGGAGGAAAAGAAGAGAGGCACTTCATCCACGTTGCTTGAAGTCCAGTGTAAAGTTTCCACAGTCAGTGATGGTTTGGGGTGCCATGTCATCTGCTGGTGTTGGTCCATTGTGTTTTCTGAGGTCCAGGGTCAACGCAGCCACATACCAGGAAGTTTTAGAGCACTTCATGCTTCCTGCAGCTGACCAACTTTTTGGAGATGCAGATTTCATTTTCCAACAGGACTTGGCACCTGCACACAGTGCCAAAGCTACCAGTACCTGGTTGAAGGACCATGGTATCCCTGTTCTTAATTGGCCAGCAAACTCTCCTGACCTTAACCCCATAGACAATCTATGGGGTATTGTGAAGAAGAAGATGCAATACACCAGACCCAACAATTCAGAAGAGCTAAAAGCCACTATTAGAGCAACCTGGGCTATCAACACCTGAGCAGTGCCACAGACTGATCGACTCCATGCCACGCCGCATTGCTGCAGTAATACAGGCCAAAGGAGGCCCAACTAAATACTGAGGGCTGTACATGCTCATACTTTTCATGTTCATACTTTTCAGTTGGCCAACATTTCTATAAATCCTTTGTTTTTATTGGTCTTCAGTAATATTCTAATTTTCTGATATGATGAATTTGAGATTTTCATTTGTAATCATCAAAATTAAACAAAATAAACATCTGAAATATATGAGTTTGTATGTAATGTATGAATATAATATACAAGTTTCACTTTTTAAATGGAATTACTGAAATCAATCTACTTTTTCATGATATTCTAATTTTATGACCAGCACCTGTATAGCGCCAAATTTACAACACATGTCATCTCAAGGCACTTTACAGTTCAACCAGATCATCCAGTCAGATTGATTCAAAGTTTTCTATCTAAGGAAAACCAGCTGATTGCATTGACTCATTGACTCAAATGCAATCCCTCACACTAAGCATGCTTGTAGCGACAGTGGAGAGGAAAAACTCCCTTTTAACAGGAAGAAACCTCCAGCAGAACCAGGCTCAGTGTGAGCGGCCATCTGCCGAGGCCGACTGGGGTTCAAGGAGACAGAAGCAGAGATACAAAAAGCAGCTGTAAAAGGCGGCCCCGTCCAGGAAACACACAGCCAGGCAGACGAGCTCCAAGGCAGCTCCCATGCCAGAGGACGAAGAGAGCACATCCAGCCAGTCACGGTCAGAGAAACAGGACCACACTGGAAAACAGGCCGATCTCCAACATCTATAAACAAGGGTGTTGATGGAAGCAGCACAGCTGATGTTTCTTTCCAGGATGATGTCACAGCCAAACAGGAACAGACGAGGCAAAGCTACTCTGAGGAAAAGCAGAGAGAGCAGAACGTTAGAGATTGAACTAACAGATTCTGCAGAATAGGAGAACAGAGAGAGAATGAAGCAGAACAGGAAGCATCCTTTAACAGAAACAGACCCAGTAGGGGAATTTATTATAATACAGTCTTGTAAAATAGAAACAAGTCCCAGCAAATGTCATCTGAAGGCAATTTACAAGACAACTTTAATACTAAAACATGGAACAGAAAACAACAGAAACACAGAATCAATTAGAAACACAAACATGGAGTCCAGCCCAATCCTATTTACAACATGGTGAAAATAAATTCAGCTTATTATGGCGTTTAGAGAAATGTCTTCAACCCGAGGAAGCTCAGCCAATCACATCTAGTCGTTAATTTTACAGCAGTCCTTCCTCCTGAGCAGTGAAGTGGTGACAGTAGAGAGGAAAAGCAGCTTTAAGCAGGAAGGAACCTCCAGCAGCTCCATGTCAGCGCCCATCTACTGCGGCCCAGCGGGTCTTTAACAGGAGAGCAGACGTCCAACAGACACAGAGGCGCTGGTCCAAGGAGCAGATGACCTGATCTGGAAAAGAAGAACAGGAGTTAGTGAACGAACACGCTAGTCTGTGACATTTAAGCACATGAACACTGGGAGAGGTGGAACTTTCACCAAGAGAAGAGGGAAACACACAGGGAGAAGCTAAAGTTAACAGAAGCCATAACTGTAGAGAATGGATGCTTGGAGAAAATGCCTGAAAATGCTGCAAGTCTTCAGTCGGTTGTTTCTCTGCTTTAAAAAGTTCTAAAAAAAACCCTTCAGAGATCAACCAGGGGGAAATTCTCCCATATTGGATCAGAAGCTGCTTCCTAACTCTTTATCTGTGGTCTAATGGAAAAGTCAGAACTTCTGGTTCTGGTAAATTTTGGTTACAGAGATTCAAACAAAGGTGAACAATTAATGATGGAAAGATAAAGATTAAAGGTCAGACCACCTTGATGGGATGGTTGTATCTTTTAAATCTGTTTGTTCTGGATCTGTTTTTAATATCTCCACCAATACTGATGAACATCTGGAAGCAATAAAGGTTCGTTATCTTCTCTTACTGGGTGGAGCAGACTGATGGTTTAGCTGCAGGGTCGTCAACGTTTTTCAGTCCAGGACTCCAGCATGTTGGAGAGAAATAGAGGAGCCAGGTTTCTCCTCCTTAGCGGTCTCTGTGCTCCGTCCTCTTCTTCAGCTCCTTCATCAATGAAAGCAAAGCATCCTCAGAGTCTGAAACTGTCTGCATGTGATGCCTCTCTGGTCAGATAACAACCAACATACCTCCAAACACGTGTGGATGGACTCTGTTCCAATGTGATCCGGCTGCTAGAAAACTGCTTCCATGTTCAACCTGCTTTCCCTGCAAAAAGAAGACAAATTGATTTCCTGGAAACCAAGTTTAAATCTGGGCAGGATGTTGTTTTCATCATAATCTTGGTCTTTCTGTGTTTCAGTGACTGTTAGCTTTTAATCAGGCCTGGGAAGCTTGAGTTGTCGGTTTGTGGTGTTAATAAAGTCTTACTCCATGTGTTTTCTGTTCCAGTCTTTCTCTGTGCCGTCCTCAGGTGGGGACTGGGAAGCTCCTCACCATCCTGGATGTCCCGGTTCCTCACAGAAGTTCTGCTTTTGGACGTCCACAGTGTCTGAACATACATGAAAAACTAAGTGAGGCCACCTGAAATGTTAACTTTCTATTTAAAAGATGGATTATTGTTGCTCCTTACTGAACATGCTCTCACTCTTTGTAAAGGTCAGCAGCCCAGATGATCCTCCTCTGGTTTGGTCGCTGCAGATCTCATCAGCATCTTCTGATGGCCCAAAGCTTGGAGAGGCTCGGTCCAACATGGGATTCAAAAAACACAGAAGAGATCCACTGCGGTCAGAACAGGCCTAGATCATATGAAGAATATTTCTGCAGAGGGTTCTTTTCCCTCAAAGTAGGCCTGAAAACTAACTGACCAGAGGAACATCTAGAAGTAGACCAAGTCGCATCTGAAAGCTGTTTCTAACAGTCGGCTCCTCTCACAACCCAAATCCCTACATCAGTCCTGTCCTCTGTCTCAAACTGCTCTGAAATCAGTTTGTCCCTCCAAGCATCGTCTCTTTACCTTCTCACCAACATCCCAGAGACCAGTTCCACTGATGACCACCACAAGCTGTGCCACTGTTCCATTCTAGATCCAGTTTGTCCCCAGCAGCATCGTCCTACTCTAGATAATCTGTCTCCACTACAGCCTTGGCCCTCTGCCTATAGACTTTAGGTGACCTCCATTTTTAGACCTTTAAGATTTTTCTTTGACCTCCTGCGTTGTCCTCAGCAGTGATGTCCAGCTGCTCCTTGGATTGGTTTGCCTCCTCGTGGTTCATCTGTTTTCAACCAGGATTCATTTTTTGTCTTTTGGTGTTTTTATTTTTTGTTCATTTGCCTCCATGCTGTGTTTCTTCTTTTCAAATCTGGTTCTTTTGTCAATCCTTTGTTTGTGTTGCCTTCTGTTAGCTGGCAGACTGTCCAGCTCTGACATCAGATGTAGAGCATGCTAGATTATGTCTGCCTTAGCCAGCTCTCATGTGCCACACCTTTTTTAAATGGTTGTCATGTCCTCAGTGCCTGCTCAGATGTCAGTGCTAAACGAAATTTCTAACATCTAAAACTTAAATCAAAATCTAGCAGCGGGGTAAATAAAAGCCACGGTGCAAGACGCTACCTAAGGCATCCCTAGACCTGCCAGACTCCTTAATATCTAAAAAAACTCAATCTAGCAGCGGGGTAAATAAAAGCCACGGTGCAAGACGCTACCTAAGGCATCCCTAGACCTGCCAGACTCCTTAATATCTAAAAAACTCAATCTAGCAGCAGGGTAAATAAAAGCCACGGTGAAAGACGCTACCTAAGGCATCCCTAGACCTGCCAGACTCCTTAATATCTATAAAACTCAATCTAGCAGCGGGGTAAATAAAAGCCACGGTGCAAGACGCTACCTAAGGCATCCCTAGACCTGCCAGACTCCTTAATATCTATAAAACTCAATCTAGCAGCGGGGTAAATAAAAGCCACGGTGCAAGACGCTACCTAAGGCATCCCTAGACCTGCCAGACTCCTTAATATCTATAAAACTCAATCTAGCAGCGGGGTAAATAAAAGCCACGGTGCAAGACGCTACATAAGGCATCCCTAGACCTGCCAGAATTCCTCTTCTTAAACATCCCTGTCATGACAAAGCCTCTTCCAGGGGAGCTCCTCTTCATCGTCTTCCTCTCTTCTCCTCCTCCTGGAGACGCGGTCTTCTTGCCACTCCAGGGACTCTTCTGGCTCTTCTCGGTTCCACGGGAGTCTGAAGTCGGGGGGAATCCTCTGGGTGAACTGAAGATGTGGGGGAAGGTGGTCATCGTCTTCACCAGAAAAAGACCTGACTTCATCAAAATCAACATCTTCCCCCTCAAAAGAACACATCTCCGCCTGCTCATAGTCGTCCACCACTACTCCTTCCACTTCTACCTCCTCATAGTCAACCCCTATTTCTTCTACTTCCATCTCCTCATTGTAACCCGGGAACGGATCTGTGACAATATGAAAAACATATTCATCACCTTGATCCTCTATCCAGAACCAGGGCTCCGGGTCCGGATCAGCAGGAAGCACGACGTTTGGAGGAAGCACGACGTTTGGAACTGTGAGGGAAAAAAAAACCATTAGACCAGGAACAATAATTAAGGAAAATTAAATGAAAAAAACTAAATGCTTTATTTTAGGTTGCTGGATTTGCCTGTGTGAGTTTTTCAGGTTTAAGTAGATCTAATCAATAAGACATATAAACAATGCTAACGGTTTGGTTAGTGTTAAAATAAAAAATATTAATATATATGTATATATGTGTGTATATGATTGTGTTGCCCTGTCCCCTGCTATTAAACTGTGCTCCCACTAGGGGGCACACATCCTCCTTTGGGAGCTACAGACATTTAGATTAGTTCAGATTAAAGAACATTTGAAGCTGTCAGTAAAAAACGTTTTTCATTAAACACAGACTACCAAATTAGAAATAGTTTTGAACTATTAGATATATCTCTTTACCAGAAAAAAAGTTTCATTGGCTGACTTGATAATATAATTATAAATCTTTGAAGTTAATTTACTCTAAGCAGAAAATTATCCTTGTTAGGAGAAATAAAGGCTTAATAACATCAAGCTTTAAAGTTCAGATCTATAATTTCTCAGAATCAGATTCTCAGCTTATCAGACCTTCCTCAGTGCATCCTAGAGTAGAAATAAAGACCTTAATTAACACACACAGAAAGCTCAGAGCAGAAATGGACATTAGCAAACTTAATGCCAAACTATTTAGAACATTTTTCTTTTTCTAAAAGAAAGGGGATCCTATACAGAACATTTCATGGTTCAGAAGAAACCATCCAGTGTTAAATGTTTAGAAAATGATAGAGTCCTCTAAGAACAAACTATTATTACTGATGACAGATGGGATTAAATGATTTACTTTCACCTGAAGATCCAAACAAGGGCTGCAGGAAAACCTTTAAATAATATATTGTTCTAAACTCATGTTTTAATTCTACCTCCTCACTGGAAAATAAACATATCATCCTTCTTTATGAACTCTTAATTAAACATTTTTTCTTTTATTTCTTTATCCTTATAAACTCAGTCAATTTCTAAACATGTTACAGCCAAAAAATGTAAAGGACCTGATTTTTGTTTCAGGAAACAAAAGCTAAAAACAAACAAATGATAATGTTTAGGGTTTTATTAAAATTAATAGTTTTACTTTGTTGCTTAGTAGTTGCCTTTAAAAACATGATTTCAAAATCACCTTGTGCCACCTGAAAAAGTCCTAAAGTGGTTTAATGCATTCAACTAAGGTATCCATGGAGACCAATATGTTTACTACAGCATGTTTTAAAAAAGGCCTTCCTTTTCAAATTCCAATACATTCAATTACGACGGAGTATTAGGGCCACACATGAAGAGAAAAAATATTTTTGCCATGACGAGATTAAACTCGACATGTCGACTTTAAACTCGCCCTGTCGACTTTAAACTCGCCATTTAGAGAATAAAGTTGAAATGACTGACATGTTCTCAAATTCAGAACTGCGAGCCTGGGTAAGCATAGGGAAAGACGTTACGTTATTATTGGTAGGCCACCGCTTCCTGTGATGATTATACAGTTGCAGCACGTCAAAGACTACCTTCACTCTTAAAACGCAGACTGCAGCTGTGGAGCGCGGTTGCTCTTTTCTCCAAACTTTGGAATGTCGAGATTGAAGTCGCCACGATATATCAACTTTATTCTCGAAATGGCGAGTTTAAAGTCGACAGGGCGAGTTTAAAGTCGACACGTAGAGATTAAACTCAACATGACATTTCAACTTTATTCTCGAAATGTTGAGTTTAATGTCGACATGTCGACTTTAAAGTTGACATGTCGAGTTTAATCTCGTCATGGCAAAAATATTTTTTCTCTTCATGTGTGGCCCTAATACTCCGTCGTATTCAATGAATCCATTTTATCCTAAAATAACTTATTTTCTATTATTTTCATCCATTTCCACATTAAAGTCACCATAGATTATTCTCTCAAACCAAACTTTGTTTCTGTTTTACATCATTGCATCTCTGTTATCATTCCTCCCATTTCCGATCAATAAAAATCTATTTAATACATAATACCCCTTAAAAAACTTTTTTTGTATAAAAAACACTGGTTAAAAACGCATCATTAAATAGGAAAATAAACAGTTTGGCTTGATAATATATTATGTTAAATGTCCTTCAAATGTCTCTTTGTTTAATTTCTTTATTTAATGTATTTTCACCAACATTTCCATATAGAGCTAACATATTTTCAGGGCATTTTTTTTAAATAACAGACCTAGCTTAATCTAGTTTTCAAACATTTCACATAAAATTCAACAAAGGTGTTTCTCTGAAATAAAAATAGTTTTTTTCAAATAATTAAATGGCTGTTAACATTCCTGACAAATTCAGTCGACTAAAAACACATTTAATCCTGAGATGTCAAAGATGCTAGATGCTAAGCTAGCCGTCACAACTTCATGGAAAAACTTCAAAATAATCATTTAATCAAGTAACATTTTTTGAATTAACATAGTAAAATAGTGACATTAACCTTCCAGCCGATCCTGCAACCTGTTCATCATCGGTGTGAAGCACATCTTTGGCAGGTTAGTAAAATCCACAGACTGCAGCAAGTCAAGCATCCAGCTCAAGTTTAGAAAGTAACGGTTAAAGATGGCGACGACGTTCAGAGGCCTCCGTTTCCATGGCAGCGGATGCGCGTGCGCACGCACGCGTGCGTGAGAAGAATTAGGAAAAGCGGGCTAATTGCACCAGCTAATACGGTGACCATATTTTCATTTGGGAAAACCAGTACACCTTGGAGCGGGGTGTGGGGGGGGGGTGATTGAAAGAACAAATGTCTCATCATCGGGATTTGCTCCGTGATCAGAGGAAATGTTACTTGGCGCAGAACAGTGGTGAAAATTGGAAGTTCAGTTTAATATAATACAACTCTGTGAATAGTTCCGTCTGAAATGAATGAAAATAGTTGTTTTAATGGTTATTGAGTCAGATATGTGGAGGTAATGTTGAGTTTGGCTGTAATTTAAGGACAGATTCTAATAGATCTGCAGAGAGGGAACTATAAATCTGATAGGAGTTTAATTTTTTTATTGTTGTTTTTATTGTTGTTTTGCACAATATGCTTAAAGGCACACTATGCAACATTTTTCACTTAATTAATGTGTTCCATAACGTTATGGATGATTAAATGAGTCATTTCAGGTTGAACAAAGGTATTCTCGGCCGCCCTGGTGGTCTGTGGGGGAAATACTGCACTTGCAATTGCAGGAGCACCGACCCGCACACACAGGCTCAGAAGTCTCGTGAGAGTCGGTCTTTGCTTTACGGCAGCTGGTAGGTGTTTTTCATCTAAATAATCCGAACTGCATGTTCTGCCGGCAGATTTCTGCATTTTAAGTTAATTTAGGCATCAATAAACTGTTTAAGAGGAGTGATCATCAGCGCTGTGTCTCTCTCCCTGCGTTAAACGCACCCGACGCGCTGCTTCAGCTGCTCAGACGTGCTGCGCCTGCTGCTCAAAACGCGCCGCGGGACCTTTTGCTGCGCCTTGACGCGCGTCAACCATTGACTTTGCATGTAAACTCGCTGCTTCTGTCGCGCCAGTGTGAACGCAGCATTAGTCATTCGCTGCTAAGCTCAAAACAACCGCGCCTGGCTTGACGGAGAAACCAGGAGAACAGCTGAGCATATTTACGACAGTGCACTTTTACTTTCGCCCTCTGGGGGGAGCCTCGCTGGAAAATCAACACCGGTTGCATAGTGTACCTTTAACTACGTATTTTTTTGTTGTTGAATATTAGAGATTTTGCAGATATTTTTTTATACATACATTGTTTAGATTTACTTATATATTTCTACCCCTTTTATAGAATAGAATAGAAAATCCCCCAAATTTACAGCAGCAGAAAGATTATTGAAAATGGTCACACAAATGAGGACCTTAGAAAAATGTATAAGAATAACATAATAGGGAAGAGTTAAAATATAAAAAATAAAACTCTGTAAAGTGTTTTAACAATATAAAACTGGAGAATAAATAACCAATATGCAGCTATGGACATTTTTACAGTAATGGATATTTGAAAATAGCAGCAACATCAGAGATGTGCAGAATGACAGCAGCAGGTTATTTAACTGACTAAGGTTTCTATCATTACATTTGATTTGATTTGTTCCTGCTCCCGGTGGTTGGAATCTTTATTCCACTCTGGATTCTTGTGAGTGTAGCCTTTGTTCACTTTAACTTTTAAAAAAATAAATAAATAAACAAACAGTTTTGAAAACCTCAGTATTTATTCTTTTCCTGCTTTGTGTGTCAACTTTCACGGTTGCTAAGCAACAGAGCATACGGCGGTAAAACCCGCCGAAGGGAGGACCTGTTCGAATTTACAGCCAAAACTCTTCCGGCCTCCTTATTTTCAAGGACTTCGAAGGATCTAGTCTAGGTAGACCGCGTCCTTGGAGGATGCAGCCCAGGATTTCGAACAGAGCCTCTGATTAAGAACAGGGCTGCCCACACTGACGCGGCTCAGGGATTACGTCAGACGGAGCGTCGTGCGCAGTGAAATCAGGACATTTCCTCACTTTCTAAAAAAAACCCGGGACGCCCGGGACAGGACGTGAAATATGGATATGTCCCGGGAAATACGGACGTTTGGTCACCCTAAATTAGCAAAGCCTGTTTTTCTGCATTATTATAGTTTCATCCTGACCTAAAGGTGAGTTCAGTCAAAGCTTGCATTTAATAAGGCAAAGGAGCAAGTTCTAAAGCTCACTGGCCGCTTTCTAAGGTTTTCTACTGAAATATTTGACAATAAATCTGAATTAAGAAAGAAATTTCAATCTGAAGGAGAGTTGTTTTTTTTTCCA